TCTTGTTGTAGTTGTCAGGTGCCATAGAGTTGGAACCTATTCATAGCGACCCCATGCACAGCAGAACGAAACAATGTCCGATCCTGGGCCAACCTCACTATCGCCGCCACACTTGACTGCACTAAACAACAGTAATAGGAGCCCTGGTGTGGCCCTGTAGGATAAGCACTTGACCACAAGGTCAGTTTGAACTGAAAGGTTGGCACTTCAAGCTCTCCAGCCACTCGCTTTGAGTCAGAAGGGACTCAGAGGCACTTAACAAAGACAACAACGTACTATACTGTACTATAAGCATGTGACGCTGTAGGATAAACACTGGACCACAAAGTTGATTTGAACCTCAAAGTTAGGTGGTTCAAATCCACCAGCTGCTCCTTGGGAACCCTATACAGGGTCACTATGAGTCAGAACCAACTCAACAGCATTTAGCAACAATAACAACAGTGAACATCTACTTGTTCATACATCTGTAAGTATCCAGAAGGTAAAAATAGTTTTAGGAATTTTCTCTGAGAGAAAATTTTCAGGTTATTTTAAATAGGGGCGAGGTTTAGATGAGTAATACCATGTATGTTTTAAGGAATTGACTGAACTATTTTACTGTCTAACTGTTTGAGAAGATGTTGTTAAGTTACAAGCAGGTAGCGTAATTCACTGTATCCATGCCCGTGTGTAAAGATGTTGTGTGTGTGTGTGTGTTGTTTTGTTTTGTTTTGTTTGAACCAAGTGCACAGCAATGTAAGCATTGCTTAATCATGTGTCACATAACTTTAAACACTGACTGGCCAATTCCCTGAAATGTCTCAGAAGCACATGCCCACACCCTCTTGCTACACTCTCACCTGTCTCCTGAGGTTCACAGCTTAATGAACTGTGAGCCCGTTTACTTCCTCTGTGCCCGGGAATACTGAACCTGTGTACATGCAGATCGGCTGCCTGGAAACCTGTGGCACCAGGTCACATGAGAGTTGCTATGAATATAGAGGTACATTTTCTTTCTTCTTCTGCTTGCTCTCTCTCATTTTTCTTTTAACTGAGGAAATGCTGCAGGCTTACGTTTATTTGTGGTATCAAATCTAAAAACTTTGGACTCCAAGCTTTTCATTGTTACTATCTGGATTTCTCGTAGGGTGCCACACCTCCTATCAAGTCTGTATCTCCATGGTTTCCTGGTGATCAAGGAGCTTTTGAGGCTGGGGTGGAGAGAACAAGGCCCAAGCCTGCTGAGGTCCTCCATGTCTGCAAGACCCAGGTAGCCGAGCTGGAGCAGTGGCTGGACCAAGCCAACGTGGCATTCGAGCCGGAAACATTAAACCCAGGCATGCAGCAGGTGGTGGAACAGCAGCTGGTCGGGTGCCAGGTAAGACTGACGGGTCAGAGTTCATGGTTTCCCGCTTCCCCGGATTGGGTGCATTTTTCTTAAAGCAACAGAGCAACCATTTCTTTGTGTTACCCGGCCGCTATCATGATCTTGGCTGCTACTTTTAGTTCTCAGGGTGATTCTCTGGGATAATCTGGAAAAGCAGAATACTTGACAAGACAGTAGTGTATAAGAGCTCAGAATCTAGAGTTCAAATTCTGGACTGTGAACTTGGAGAAATCACTTCTCAGCTTCATTTTCCTCTTATATGGTGGTGGTGGTGGTTATGTGCTGTGAAACCGGTTCTGACTCATAGTGACTCTGTACAGGGTTTCTGAGGCTGTAAATCTTTACAGGAACAGAAAGCCTCATTTTTCTCCCACGGAACAGCTGGTAGTTTTGAAGTGCTGACTTTGTGGTTCGCAGCCCTATTCATAACCACTGTGCTACCAGAGCTCCTTGTATAGAATCCAGGAAATCTGTTAGCTCATAGGGTTGCTCAGTAGCTCTGTAGGATAAACACTGGATTGCTAACCGCAAGGTTAGCATTTTGAGCCCTCCAGCTGCTCCACACAGAAAGATGAGGCTTTCTGTTCCCTCAAAGATTTACAGCCTAGGGAGCTCTATACAAGGTCTCTATGAGTTGGAACCAATTCGATAGCTCCTAATAACAACAGTAGAGTTTTTGCTGAATTAAATGAGATAAGGCACATAAAGCAGTGTCTGTCACATAAAAATACTCAAAATTGGCTCTTTATTTTTATTCCTAAGTATCTTGCATATTTATCAGAAATGAAATAGAATGTCCTGCTTTGTAAATTTGAAAATACACATAAAAGGGTTTCAGTGACGTTTTACTATAATTGCTTCTAGTCCCCATTGAGTTGGCTTTCTCTGTAATTTTCAACTGAAATGATGCTTACCATTTCAGACTCAGTTTAGATCTGGAATGAAGGCTGGTAGAAATGAAGAAGCATTATGGCATTACTAAGGACCTCTGGTAGCGTAGTGGTTACGAGTCGGGCTGTGAACCACAAGGTCAGCAGTTCGAAACTATGAGCTGCTCCGCGGGAGAAAAATGAGGCTTTCTGCTCCGGTAAAGATTTACAGCCTTGGAAATCCCTGTACAGGGTCTTTATGAGTCGGAACTGACTCCACGGCACACAACAACAACAACAACAATGGCATTACTAAAAGTACACTGAAAAGGAACTCTTTGAGTATGGATTTCTTTTCTGCACTCACTAGTGGCCTGAATTAGAGCAGGATGATTCTTTGTGAGATGAGAAGAATGAATAGTCTCACTAAGGCCTTATGTATATATTCTAAAAATTGGATAAAATTCAATTGATTTAGTCAGTTTAACTTGAGATTTCATTAGCATGTAGTTCTAAACTGGATAACAAGTCAAAACTTTACCTAGTAATTATATCATTAAATGTAGTTTACAGTCACCGGATTTCATCTTTGAGTTTATAATTTAATTGGAACTTAAGCATTCTTTCTATAAGCAAAGTGCCTCGGTTTTTAGGGGTTAATTTTCAATGGACCCATATTTATCTTCCTCACTTTAAAATATTTCCCACATATGACATCCAGTCCTCGGGACAATTAAAGAAAGTTTTTGTAAAGACTGATTAGTGTGATATATATAGAAATGTTATCTGCCAAAATGGGAAGCAACTTAAGATATGGAAATTTGTTTATAGAATAAAACATGAAAGGATTTTATTTCGATGATGAAAAATTCCTTAACTTCAAGTAAGCCGTCAACATTTTGCTTCACTGATCCAGCATCCTTAATTAATCCTCAATTAATACTCTGCTTACCATTAATTCATATTGCCATAGCTCCTTAAAGTGTGTTTTTGTGTGGATCACCTCATTCGATCTTCATACCAATATACTTCCTGATGCTTCTTCTTGTTAAGTGTCGTCAAGTCGGTTTTGACTCATAGTGACCTGGTTTCTGAGGAGCAGCTGGTGGGTTTGAACTGCTGACCTTGTAGTTAACAATTCCATGCTTTTTCTACAGTGCCACACCAAGATCCCTCCTGATGCTTAGGGGCTAGTATTTCCATTACTAGATGAGGAAACAGATCCAGACAGGTGCAGTGTACTTTGGATATTAAATACTGAAAGTAATGTACAAAGTCAGAGTTTGCCTGGAGATTAGGCCATCAGTATGCAAGTACTCCTCACAATACCCACCAAAGATAGGTGCGTTCATACAATGAAATTTCACATAATGAAATTTGACCAAGTAGTGGAGCTGGGGTTTGAGTATTTCTAAATCTGCCTCTAAAATCCAGGGATTTTTCTAACATTCTGGCATGGAAGAGACATTCTATGAATAAGCACTAACATAGACTAAGCACTAACTTTGCATGTGACTAAGTACTACAAATCATGGTGTGGCACTGTAGGGTCAGCATTGGACTGCTAAGCACATGGTTGGTGGTTCAAACCCATCAGCTGCTCCTTGTAAACCATATACAAAGTCATTATGGGTCAACACTGATGAAACAGCACTTAACAACAAACAAGTATTACAAAGGGTGAGGAAAAAATTATTTTATAAATTGTCCTGGTGGTGCTATGAATTAGGTATTGGCTGTTGAACCACAAGGTTGGTGGTTCAAACTCAGCAGCTACTTCTCGGGAGAAAGATGAGTCTGTCTGATCCCATAAAGATTTACAGTCTCCAAAACCTTGTGGTTACTATGAGTCAACGTTGACTTGCTGGCAGTAGGTTTTTGTTTTTGTTCAGATAATCAGATATGAAATGAAATAAGAGCAGACCTATGTGATTTTGGACAGATTGGAAGAATTAAATATAAGCCACTGGATCATTGTAATGACTATGAATCATTGTATCTCTTGTACATATTTTAGTTAATAACTTTGGACAATTGCAGCAATAGAAAAATTAAAGGAATAGATACCCAGAAAAAATTCCAGGAAGATAATTTAAATCTCTGTGGATCATATATATGTGTGTGTGTGTGTGTGTGTGTGTGTGTGTGTGTGTGTGTATGTATTTGGAATCAACACGGCACTTAACAATTTAATGTAAAAACATATAAAACACCTTATTTGTTGTTGTTATTATGTGCCATGGAGTCAGTTCTAATTCATAGCGTTTCCGAGGTTATAAATCTTTACAAGAGCAGAAAGCCTCATCTTTCTCCCGTGGAACAGCTGGTAGTTTCTAACTGCTGACCTTGAGGTTAGCAGCCCGAGGTTTCCGAGGTTATAAATCTTTACAGTAGCAGAAAGTCTCATCTTTCTCCCGTGGAACAGCTGGTAGTTTCTAACTGCTGACCTTGAGGTTAGCAGCCCGATTCATAACCACTATGCTACCAGAACTCCTTAAAACACCTTATGTTGTTGATGTTGTTAAGTGCCGTCGAGTTGATTCTGACCCATAGCGACCCTGGAACAGCTGGTGAGCTTGAACCACCAATGTTGCAGTTCAAACGACCTTGCAGTCTGACACATTAGCCACAGTGCCACACCAGAACTCCTTTAGTGATCTATAAATACACAAAGTTACCAGGAATAAAATTTCAGATCATTCACACAAAAAATTTTATTAGTAAGTTAATATTTGGGAAAAGCGTTTAGCTTTGATCATTTCAGAAATGTAAATTAAAGCAGTTCCTGCATTACATTAGCAAAGGTTATGTAATTCTGGCAAAACTCTAGAAAAATAGATCTATTAAAGTCTGGCTTACAGTTGACAGTTTAAACCCTCCCAGAAGTACCGTGAAAGAAAGGACCAGCAGTCTCTGTTTCCATTAATACTGTTATTGTTGTTGTTTAGTGCCATTAAGTAAGTTCCAACTCATAACAACCCTGCATAGGATTTCTGAGGAGCAGCTGTTGGGTTTGAACTGCCAACTGTGCAGTTAGCAGTTCAGTGTTGATTCTGTAGCACCACACCAGAACTCAGAAAGCCAATGGAGTAGTTAGTTATACTCTGTAATACATGGGGCCGCCATGTGTCAGAATCAACTTGAAGGCACTGGGTTTGGTGTTTGGTTTAAATGTCTGGTAGCTTTCTTTGTATGATTCTAGGTTCAGTGTTTTGGCAAGGTCAGCTGTCAACATATAAAATGTTTATCTTCTTTGACCTAATAATACCATTACTTTGAATTTACCTTCTGAAAACCATCTGTAAAGGAGAAAAATATTCTTGGCAGTATTGATTGCAAATATGAAGAACTGGAAAAAGTTTAAAGGGTTAACCATAGGGACACTGTCAGGTGAGCTGTGGTGTATCAAATTGCAAGTTGCACCATGAGAATCATGATGTGTATGCAGACACATGAGAAAGTATATATAAAGTAAGTGGGAAAGCAAGCTTGTAAGAGACTCAGAGAACACAAGTAGTGGCTTAGATGGAGTAGTTATAAGACCTCTTGTTGGAAAATGTGTTTTAAGGATAGAGTCTTTCCTCCAGTTTCTTCCAAAGAATTGAACCTGTTGTTAATCAGATACTGAGTTTTAGCTCAAATGATTAGGATGCTGGAATGTAAATATAAATGTGGCTGTTGAATTTGTGTGCCCAGGCCTTCAAGCAGCTATAGTGCTAATAACCTTGGTGTCAGCCAACTGGCAGGACTGTCCAAGCTCCTGAGCCCCAGGAGATGGCAAACTTGATCTGCTGAGGAGAATATGACAGAGACCAACTGGGAAACTTACCTCATCCAGCTGATTTATTTTTAGACTCGTGTGTAAATTGGCCAGTTGTATCAATGATTCACTGTTTTAGGTTCCAAATTATTTCTTTTGTGGTGTTATTCTGATATTTTAGAGGCTTGTTTGGCTTGATAAAGAGAAAGGAAAGGGGAAAGGAATGGATATTTAATTAGTTCTGTGGGACTTTTTTTTATTATTATTAACTATTACTTCATAACTTAGATAGCAACAGAAAAGATTTTTTAAGGAAGGTGGGAAAAATAGAAATAGTACTCAATACTTTCATTTTTTTTTTA